GGTTTATGGGACAGTCAGTCCCCATTTTTGGTTGCCTCCGGGAAAATTCAGAAAAACTGTTACCTGTCCCTGTCCCTGTTTTTTTTTTGGAAGATGTATTTTAATCAGATTTACAGTCAAACTAAAAATGTCCCCGTTTTTTCCAAAATTTTGGGAGTCCCCGGTTTTGGTCTCGGACATTTGGTCTTAGCTTTAGCCGCTATGCCGTTAAATCGCTGATAATTGCAGGCACACATTCGTGAAAATGACACCATTATGAGCTTAATTTTACACCTTGACCGACCATTTAAACACTCGCTTGATTTGTATGCTCCCAGCTAGCCATCTAGCAGTGTCAATCACTGATGCCACAACCTGCAGCTTATCTTTTTCATTTTTTAGCACCACTATTTGGATTGCTGAACATTGCAGTTGCTTGGCTGTTAACAATTAAGTTAGACACTCTCAGAAAAACTTATTTTGTGTTTTAATGGCAGTTGGCAAACTTAACGGTGCATTAACGGTGCCACCTCTCAGAAAGACAAACCTAGCAATAACATTCGAGGACGTAGATCAGAAAACGTCACGATGAGAAATAAAATGATTCGTCAGATTTCCCAGCAGTCCGTGCTTTTTTGTAAAAATGGAGAATAAAACACATAGTCCAGGCAAACTAATTAACTCATTTTGGATCCAAATTTTTTTTTCTGCATAGATATTTTCTATGAGGTGTCAGACACTGCGGCGTAGGAACCGGGGGGGGGGGACGTGTCCCCCTCAATATGGAAAAATGCGGCATGTGTCCCACCCAAAAAAATCCATAACCTACCACAGGAACAAAAACTGTACATTTGGAACTTTTATTTTTAAAGCGCGACAAAGAAGATATAGCCTACAGTTTTGCCAGCAAGTCAAACCCAGAGTCATAGTTAGGTTAAACCATTAAACCTTCCCATTTCATGTTTGAATAATCACCATTCGCTTCATATATTTCACTCATCACCGGAGCATCTGATTGGTAGAGAGAAGTTAACATTACACTAGAAACGCACCAGCTTTAAACTGGAACCTACATGATTTATCTAATCTGACAATGTTATTTTTGTTATTAGCTCCATGTTACTTATAATATCACATACCTTTGTTTGCAGTTTGAATAAATAATAAACACAGCAGTTTGAACTCTTCTTCACTTTATTATTATACCACACATCAGATCTCCAAAATCCCGCGACTATACCAAGTGCGCATGACCCATCTACGGCAAGCCTCGAGGGGAAAAATACATTGCATACACACATACAACGAGTGCTAGTACATCATTACCGGTGTTAACAGACTTTGTTGGATTATGTCATTTACAACCCAAAAAAGTCTGTTACAATAATAATAATAATAAAGATTTTGAGGACAGTTACACTGTATTGAGAAAGTTGAGAAATAATAATATTTTAAACAATAATTGTCATTATTGAACCCTTGCTCTTATTTTGTTTCTGATTTCTGAGCTTTGTCATTATTTTAGCAAATAATTTATTTTTATATATTTTGACACGGTTTGTTTTAAGAAGTTTCAAAGAGTTAGTAAAAGAGTTAAGTAAAAGTTAAAACTTTTTTATTTAAGTAGGCATATATTTTTTAATGAAGTATTTATTTTGTATTAAACACTGTATTCATTTATAATGTATCATTATTGCATGACATTTGTGTCAATAATCGTCAAGCACAGGTGACTTCACGTAGTGGGAGGGGGCCCCAAAACAGACCGCCACTGCATGTACCACATTACCAAACTGTATGTTACTATTATGGTGGTGGGATAGACGTTGATTCATAGTGGCCAGTATGTCCCCCCCCCAATGTCAAAGACGTTCCTACGCCCTTGTGTCCAGAACAACATAGCCTACTAAAAGTCCTAAGAAATCCTAGTTGAGCAAATATGTTAATTTGTCATCAATCCGAAATGTGTGCCAGCCAGTAACAACACACCCCATATTTGCATATTACAATTAATTTTCAAAGACACTTGTAATAAAAAAAAATTAAAATAAACAAATAAAATACTTTTCATGGGTACTTTCATAAAGTTAATTTTGATAGGAGTAAAGGAAAAAAAAATGTGTATTGTCGCCTGGCCTTATTGGCACACATTGGATTGATAAATTAACATATTTCCTGAACTAGGATTTCTTAGGAATTTTAGTATGTTGTGCTGGATGCTAGTCTGTCGTAAAATGCTACTTTGCCTGGACTAAAAATAAATGAATTGTGATTATGATTTTTTTTTTTTATTCATGGCCAAAGTATGTTACTGAAATCAAACATACATTAAAGCCTTTTGAGCCTTTTAGCCTACATAATTTAGAAATACATCTGAATGTACATGCCTCCAACCTTACACTGAACAAAGACCCTTACCACTATTTTTCTCATTTAGCCTTCCCCAATTACAATTTCAACCTTACAATTACAATTTTGTTATTGGTATTTTACTTTCATTTTCTTGTAAACAAACGTGAGTCTCCTGAGTCAGCCGTAGATAGATAGATAGAGACAGACAGAAAAGAGAAATAAATGTTATACTTGTTACCAAATCTTTATTTTTGATAAACCAGACAACTTTTCCAGTCACATAATAAATAAAATTAAGCAAGACAACAACTTACAACATACTTTCCATTTCTTTTTCCAGATGCTGAAAACATGATGCAAACTGTTGAGACGAAGGTATAATACTCAGATTTTCATTTCAATTTCAAACTCCATACTTTATATATATATATATATATATATTTTTTTTTTTATTCAATTTCCATTCGAGATCGTTAGGCTACCTAAATGTAAAAAATGAATAGACGCAAGACACCTGTTTCCAGTTCAGCATTGAGGAGAAGAGCCAGGGTAGACCTTAATAGAAGGTTAATTGATATCGGCCAGGAAACATTTGCAGCCACACTTCCTCCCAGAGATATTGGGTCTCCAACAGATGATGTTGCAGAACTTGAAAATGAAATCATGGAAGAAAATCTTGGATTAGATCCAATGGCAGCTGCTGTGTCTGACCCAGAGGATAGATCTTATTATCAAGATGATAGTGATGTAGAAGAAGTATCTGACTGGGAGGAACCAGAAAAACTCATAAATCGCCTTTCCAACTGGGCATTAACATATTGCATTTCCCATATCGCACTTTCGGCTCTCTTGGCAATATTAAAGATCCACCACTGTGACTTGCCAAAAGATGCACGAACTCTTCTTAAAACAAGAAGAGATTATTCTGTTAGGGAGCTCTGCGGTGGCCTTTACCACTACATTGGCATTTTTGAGGCGTTAAAACATACCCTTTCCCAGTGGAAAGACAAGCTTGTCGATGGATGTTGTTTATATCTTCAAATGTCAGTGGATGGCCTGCCACTTTTTAAAAGTTCAGGTCTTCAGTTGTGGCCCATTTTACGTAGATTGGTTGGAGTACCCATGAAAGAACATGTGCTCATTGGGATGTACTCAGCTATAAAGAAACCTGATTCATCTAAAATGTATCTCACAGATTTGGCAAATGAACTCTCACAATTACAGGAGGGGTTTACATTTGAGGGGAAAAGGCTCACTTTAAAAGTTCATTCAATGATCTGTGACGCACCGGCAAAATCCTTTTTGAAAGTCACAAAGGCTTTTAACGGTTACTATGGCTGTGACAAGTGTATTCAGAGTGGGGTGTACCTCAACCACCGCATGACATACCCCCTCATGAATAGCCAAACACGGTCTGATGAGGCATTTGCCAGGCAGGAGGATGAGGAACATCACCATGGTCCTCATGCCTTCACAAATGTACATTTTGGTTTGGTGTCCCAAGTCCCACTGGACTACATGCACCTGATGTGTTTGGGGGTGGTAAGGCGCCTTATCTTTCTGTGGATGAAAGGTCCTCTGACTGTCCGTGTACCAGGAGAGACGTGGAGGAGAATATCCAGAAATCTTCTAAGCTTAAGACCCCACATTCCTTCGGAATTTGCTAGAAGGCCAAGAGCACTGAACGAAGTGGATAGATGGAAGGCGACGGAGTTCCGTCAGTTTCTCTTATACACAGGGCCGGTGGTGTTGCGCGAGGTGTTAAGACCTGATCTATATGCAAACTTCCTGCTGCTGTCGACAGCCATGGCAATGCTGGTCTCCCCTTTCTTTGCCAGAAAGTACAACGAATATGCCAACAGCCTCCTTCATGCTTTTGTGGAACATTTTGCCCGCCTGTATGGAAATGATCAGTTAGTGTACAATGTGCATGGGTTGACCCATCTTGCACAGGATGCAAAACATTTTGGCAATCTGGATGTTATATCATCCTTTCCATATGAAAATTATTTGCAAAAACTCAAGGGTTTTGTACGCAAACCCTCAAATCCCCTGGCCCAAATAATCAGACGCCTGTCCGAGGGATCAAATGGTGGTGTTACAAGTGACCAGCCCATCAAATTGTGCAAAGAACATGCCCGAGGCCCTATACCAGTACCAAACTTGATCTGTCACCAGTATGATGAACTGATATCAGAGAGGTTCACCATGACCACAACATGTCGAAACAACACATTTCTGATGGGCAAAAATGTGTGTCAAATTATTAATATAATTGACTGTCACAGTGATATCACAATTGCCTACAGACAGTACGGGATGGTTGAAACATTTTTTACCTATCCTTTTAATTCAGACATTTTAAACATTGTGATACCAGCTGACCTAGGCCATGAGATAAAATTCTCCAAACTGTCATCTTTCACACAAAAATGCATAGCTGTCCCTTTCAATGAGGCAATGGTGGTCATACCATTGTTTCATATGAAGGACTAGAGACTATTTTTTTTTGGAAATCATAGTTCAGTTCAGTTCAGTTATGTATTTTTTTAATCATCTTTTTTTTTTACACAATGATTTCTAAAAGACATTTTGTGGAGTAATTTTCCTCGACGAGGACATTACAGAAGTTGTGCCAAGGTCATGGGTTAAAGGTAATGAATGTTTTTGGCCAACATTCATTTCTGAGGAAAAAACCCAAAAGGCCATAAAGAGGCATGAAATGCCAGGCCCTGGCTGGAAAATCTTCAAAATAAGAACACTCTTTGAAAAAGGTAAATAAACAAACAAACAGGGTAATTCTATGTCTTTACATGTTAGAACAACAGTTATGCCTTACTTAATTTATCCTTAATTATTTCCATATCTGTCTTTCTTAATTTTTATTTTTTTTCATAATAGTAGATGACTTCAGTAAGGCAAGGCAAAAGCTGAAGGACTACAACAGAAATGGAACGACAGTCCTCCAGTCAGAGGATGAGAGCTCAATGGCAAAAAGGAGAAGAAAAGCGACACAGTATGTACATTATAGATAATTGTTGTATTACTGCAAAAGCTATGGCTGGGGATGGGTTTGTACAAAAAAAAAAGCCTTTGTTCATGCCTGCCCAGTAAATGACGCTATTGCCTTGTCATTACAATTTGACCTCTGTCTTCACCAGTTACCCAGGATTTGAAAACGGCAGTACTGACTCTGAAACTGAGAAGACTCCAAAAAGAAGACCAGATTCTCGGCCTCGGCCTCAACCACTCGCTATTAGCGCTACCCTTCCTAGTCTCCCTCCAGCCCCCCTCTGTAAGTTTTGATTTGATTGCCAACTGCAACAATGTACAGTCCTGTGATTTGTACCACTGCAATATGTTGATTCACGGTTTTCATTTATCAAAAGTGGACATCGCAGTGGACATGGGTCAGGAGTCTCTGGACAACACAGGACAGGAAACCTTTACAGACATAAGCTGGAATGTGAGGAGGGAGTCAGACCCCTTCAATGGTAGGAATCGTGCTCTGTAGCAAAATTACAATACAAATGAAAGTACAAAGGTGATGTTCTGTCCTGTTAATTTCTGTCCTTGTCTGACAATCTGCCTCTCTTGTTATCATTTTCCCTCAATGTTCATCTAGTAATCAATAGCTCAGCGCACCAGTCAACACCACCACCACCTCAACACTCAGCGCACCAGTCAACACCACCACCACCTCAACACTTGAGTCCAGTGTTTGACATTAATATGGGCTTCCCCTATTCACATGGTGACTTTTTCATACAAATTTAGTACATGTGTACAATAAATATCCATACTTTTTTTTTCTTGTTTTCTGATTTTAACATTTACATACCTTTCCTCAATTAGCCAGCGGTGGTGGAGAGCCTGGAGGTCACCTCCTCTTCAAGCCAACTTTCAGAGTTGGCCATGAAACAGGGCCAATTCCTTGCACACGTAAGAAATAAAAAAAGGAATGTTAACAATGTTTACAACATCTATATATATATATATATATATATATATATATATATATATATATAGTAGCTAATAAGAATCTACAATGTAAATAGCCATGAAAATAAAGGAAACGCATTGAAGGTGTGTCCAAACTTTTGGTCTGTACTGTATATATATAAGTATAGTACAGCTGTGGGTTGATTTATTGACCATCATTGTGTGTATTATTTCCTTAAAGGGATAGTTTACCCAAAAATGAAAATTCTATCATTGTTAGCTCACCCTCATGTTGTTCCAAACCTCTATGTGTTTATTTGTTCTGCTGAACACAGAGGAAGATATTTGAAGAATGTTTTAATCAAACAGATCTCATTCCCCATTGACTACCATAGTAGGAAAAAATACATATGGTAGTCAATAGGGATTGAGATCTGTTTGATTAAAACATTCTTCCAAATATCTTCCTCTGTGTTCAGCAGAACAAATAAACACATAGAGGTTTGGAACAACATGAGGGTGAGTAAACGATAATAGAATTTTCATTTTTGGGTGAACTAACCCTTTCATGTTTAAATAACCTGAGTCTTTTCTCCAGATTAACACATTTTTTTCAACTTTCACAATGTTTCAGCGGCTCAGCTACATGGCCTATTACTTTTGGAAAACCTAAAGCAGCAGGTTGCCCAACTCGCCACCACCGTGAACCTGCTAATGGCCAAGGTCAATAACGGCCTCCAACCAGCAGCCTTTGAGTGGTCCGGGGAATTTCATTTCCCCCTGGAATCAGATGCAGAGCTGGACCGCTTTGAGACCTGGCTGGCGGACCCTGCCAACGATAGGCAGAAACATGCCCTTGTAAGCATATTCCCCCAATATGCTCTCATTGTATTCTCAAGACACTTGTATCATCTTGTACTAAATCTAATTAATCTAAAGTAGTATTTAGTGCTACAATAGACTAAGCTCTTTATGATGATGTAATTGAATGTTATGGATAAAACCATCATCCAATTACCCACATGTCTTAATTCTAAAGAAAAAAAAAACTTTCAAAAAAGTGGCTTACCTGTTTAAAAGGTGATCCAACTATCTTCATGCCCCTAGGTGAATACCCTGTCTGCTGTCGGGGTGTAGATTTGAAGAGGGTGACATGGAATATTCTTTCATACATGTTTTCCTGCCCCCTGTCTCGCACGATTAATTGGAAGGGTGTGAACAAGAAGAGGGCCTTCCACAGGATGGCATCACGGACCCTCCTCAGCCGTAAGTATAGGCTATTGTTTCAAATGTCCTAAGTGAATTTATATTTATTCACTCAGAAGTCTTACAGATTACTCAAATATGTAAAATATAGCAAGGAGACATTTTAATTGTTTATTAATAAAGTCAAGATGAAGTTGACGATGCTGATGCTGACTCGCGATCTTTGCAGTAGTGAATGCAGCAGAGAGAAATGCACATTTAATTTCATAAGCAGAAAGCACTCTGTTTTCTTTCGTTTTGAATTGATCTGTTTAAAAGTAGATATTTCAATATAGATATATTGTTCAGGTCCGTGAATATGCTACCTTACGCTGAGTTTCGGTTTGAGACGCGCTCCAGTTCACAAGCCTGCACCTCCGGGACGTTATTATCTATAATTGTCAGCTATTTTACTTCTTTTTATTCAATCCAGACAATTGGTGTATTAAACATTGATTAAATTTAAGATACAATTAATTAAAAACGAAATTCCCTTTAAAGAAAGGCTTTGTGTCTTCTGTGTGAGGTCTCTGGAAGTTTTAAAGGAGTCTTGTCACTTCTGTAACATTGCTTTTTCCTCAAATGTGAACGCAAAAAATAAAATAAAATGAATATTTTATATTCTGTGCAGAGCCAACCCTTCTTCATCTGATTTGCTTAGTGTAATTCACAGAATTACAACTACAAAAATCGTTGCTTCCTAAAAGTTAAAGATTCTTTTTGTCACGCATGAATGTCTATTTCCCTAATATTAAATATAAAATGCATGTGTAGACTGATATTTTTTCTAATTTCCTTTCGGGGAGGAGCCTATGGACAAACAGACGTTTCAATGCATTTTCTGAGAATGTATTTTTCAAGTTTTGACTGCAAATGTCATGTCCATAATGCTGGAATTCCTAAAATTTTAAATAATTTATCCTCAACTAGTTTTGTGGTGTGGGTCTACGTATTTTATAATGTTAACTTCAAATAATAGGCTACTAATAGTAATTTAAATATGTGGTAGCATTGGACTGGATTAGCCTACTTTTAAATAACAGTAACAAGTAATAAATAATGTATAACAGTTTGGAAGTAACCAGTGTTGTGCAAGTTACTTCCAAACTGTAATACATTATATTATATATTACTTGTTACTGTTATTTAAAAGTGATTCATACCTTACAATATTACTGTCTCAGAATTGTAATGCGTTAAATTACTCCTGTATAACGTTTGTGTTACTTTCACCAAAATAACTATCAGAAGTAGAACTTAACGTTGGGGCTGTAACGATATGCGATATGAAACCAAAATCGCCACACTCAGATCCACGAACCTGCAGAATCGCGACGTACCCCTCCCAACTGCAGCGTTATCCTTCCAGATCCAATGCTACCTTATCTTTAAATTAGGCTAGTATTATTTGAAGTTAACATTATAAAATACAGACCTACACCACAAAACTAGTTGAGGATGAATGATTTACAGAAATGATAAATGACATGACATTTGCAGTCAAACTTGAAATTTTAATTCTCAGAAAATGCATTTAATATACCAATATAGAAACGTCTGTTTATCAATAGGCTACTCCTTTAAAGGGTTAGTTCACCCAAAAATGAAAATTCTGTCAGTATTTACTCACCCTCATGTTGTTCTAAACCTCTATGTGTTTATTTGTTCTGCTGAACACAGAGAAAGATATTTGGAAGAATGTTTTAATCAAACAGATCTCAATCCCCATTGACTACCATAGTGTGTATTTTTTCCTACTATGGTCAATGGGGATTGAGATCTGTTTGATTAAAACATTCTTCCAAATATCTTCCTTTGTGTTCAGCAGAACAAATAAACACATAGAGGTTTGGAACAACAAGAGGGTGAGTAAATACTGACAGAATTTTCATTTTTGGGCGAACTATCCCTTTAAAGGAGTCCAGACATTAGAAAATACCAGTCAACACGTGCGTTTTATATGTTAGGGAAATAGACACGCAAAAACGTTTAAGGCAATACATATTTTGTAATTCAGTGAATTACACTGCGCAAATTCGACGAAGAAGGGTTAGCTCTCCACAACATAAAATATTCATTTTTATTTTATTATTCCTGTTCGCATTTATGAGGAAAAAAATAATGTTACAGACGTGACAGTTTTCTGTTATACGGACGCGAGCGCTCTGAAGCGGCACTAAAAGACTCCTATAAAACTTTCACAGACCTCAAACAGAAGACACAAAGCTTTTCTTTAAGGGAATTTCGTTTTTTATTAATTGTCTCTTAAATTTAACCAACGTTTAATACACCAATTGCCTGAATTTAATAAATAAGAAGTAAATATAGCAGACAAAGACTATTACAACACGGATAGGAGGCGCAGGCTTGTGAACTGGAGCGCCTCGTGAATCGAAACTCCAGGTGTATAAGTAGTCTTTAGCTTATTCACAGACCTGAAAAAAAAATATATCTATATTGAAATGTCTAACTGTACACAGAACAATTCAAAACGAAAGAAAACAGAGTGCTCTGCTCTGTGCATCTCTCTGGCGCATTCAGCCTACTGCGAAGATCGCAAGTCAGTCAAGTTCTTTATTAATAAACAATTAAAATGTCTCCTTGCTATATTTGACATATTCATAATCATTGCTTTTTCATCAGCTTTTAGGTGCTTTAATTATGTTATATGAACGCGTCGCCACCGCACCAAAAACATGATTGCGATGAAAACATGAAAAATGCCACCTAAACCTAACTGTTTACTACGGAAAGAAAACAGAACGAATAGCCTAATGCACATATGTTGATCTCGTGAATGTGGTGAAGATCTTATCATTGCAATGCAGTCTCTCTAATCTCTAATGCAGCAGACACGAACGTTAGAGTTTCGTTGTGCAGTGTAACGTGCGTCATTGAATTCCTAACGAGTTTGGCAAGTGTCCAGATAAACTCGCGCTGTGATTGTTCTTTGATCGCTTTCTTTCTGTTTATAATTCACAATTTAAATAAGATTTGTTTTTCATCCTACTAAAAGAAACAATGTGAAGTTGATTTTTAATCACTGCCTGACTTACTGATACAAAAACAGTATTGAACGATTTTAAAGTGAAATATTACCTGTCTGAACTTGAACAACACATCAGCTCGATCCGGCCAGCTCTTGGCAAGTTGAGGAAAGTCGTCGGTGAAATGTTTGAAAATTTCCAGAGAAAATAAAATTAATCCATTGTTTCTTCAGAGGCTCGGTCGGACGAAGGAACTAAAAATAGCCTACTTTTGTGTTCACGTGTACATCCGAACATTGATCAACGACCATGCTTCGACTGCGCAGCTCCGTCTCGTCTGTCACTGAACATGGGCTGGCATATGCAAATATTTTGGGTCATACATATTAATGATCCTGACTTTTACGTCAGAGTCAGTATTATGTGGAGATTCGCCTGTTTTTCAGGGGTCTTTTACAAAAACGAAGTAAGAAGGAGAAAATAATGATGTTTCAGACTCACTGTATGTCCATGTACTGAACTCTTGTTATTTAACTATGCCAACATAAATTCAATTTCACATTATAGGGCACCTTTAACGAGTAAAATATTACTGAAAATCGATTAGTAATGCCTTACACTACTGCGTTACAGCAAAAAGTAATGTTACTATAATGTATTACTTTTGTAGCGCGTTACTCCCAACACTGCACAAGCACAACCCTGCTAATCAGTAATGCTGTTTTCCAGGTGCAGTGCGCAAATGTGCACTGACAACAACTGCAACAGAAGCAGAAATCTGGAGGCACGCAATTCGGTGGTTTGCACTTTCGGCGGACAGGAGCGGAGGGCGCCAGGAGAGACTGGCGCGTCAGCAGCAAGAGCAGCAATTACAGCTGCCACTGCACCCACACATTGATTTTGTTTAAGTGCATGTTTTTTTTTTTTTTTTTTTTTTTTTTTTTTTGTTAATAGCCTGTGCGTTTTTTACCCGTTAATTAGGCTATATGTTTGTTGTTGACTGTGTTCTTTGTTTATTGTTGACTTTGTTCATTGTTGTTCATTTTTATAATTAAATCTATGAATTCGTGGTCATTAATTCTGTGTTTCTTAACTGTGTTCACTTTGTTTTAGTATGCGTTTTAATCATTAAAACGATTTAGTTCAGCCATAGCCTAAGCCTGCATTTCTCCAACTAGCCTTTATCAAGTCAAGTTAAGCTTTTTATTATAGCCATAGCCTTAGTGAAAAAAAAATTTCTGGACATTCCACAGACTGTGAAAATGTAGGACTATGTATAGCATATAGGTTACTCAATGCCGAAAATAAGGCAAAATGACAATCCAGTGGTGATTTAAGCAGAATCGTAACACATCCGGCACAGCTCCGGTAGGCGGAATCGCTTCACGCACCCGTTACGCATCTGTAACGGGATGATCAGGCGGTGCTGGATCGGCGCTGGCACATATCCGCAACAACCCCTAAAAACAGACCAGAAACGGCTTCGGCCCGATGTGCGTTTGGACTCAGGAACGAGTCCGTGAGGCGGAAGCGGGCCAGACCCGGCTTTATCGTTTTGCGATTGCGGCCCTGTTCCGTTACAGCGTCCAGTGGCTATCTGGGACGTCTCTTTGGTCGTGTGTCGGTAATTTTTCAAACTTCCCTCTGATGCTTCGCTGCTATCCTTCACACACACACCCTTCATGTGCACTCGCACTAACCCCCCAGACCCACCCTCAAATACTTCTTGCCAGTGATTGGAACACTGTTTGTTAGGTTTCGTGGTCCGGGTAAGACATGATTGTTTTTGTTGCCGTTTGTGGAGCCTGTGGTGTCTACAAAGACCGCGTTTTTTTACAGTGTGTTTAGGGGACAGGCAGCTAGCCGATAGTGAGGAGACGTTTGATGTATGTGACAAAAAATGTTTTGGCCCAGCATCGCTTAGACAACCTTTAATAGTAAAGCAAGAGGAGCAGCAATTCTAATTCTTAAGAAAGTAGTTTTATACTTCCAAATGTGCTTGAGAATGTGTTGCGGATGAGCTCTTATTATACATTTCAAACCCAGTTGAAAACGTCCCAAAAATAGTGCAGAAGCTATCTGTTTTTGGCAGTTTTTCAGGATACAAACTTAACCTTTCTAAAAGTGAATGTTTCCTTATTAACCCTCTTGCTTTGTAAATTAAGGCTACATCCCTCCCATTTCGCATCTCTCAATCTGGTTTTAAATATTTGGGAGTTCACATTACTCGTACTTTCTCACAAAGTACGCAAAGGTCCCAGGGAGGTTTAGCTCTTCCTAATCTAATGGGCTACTATTGGGCTGCAAATCTTCAAAAAATTATTTATTGGTATACTTCCCCTGAGGTTGATTGGTGTAAGGCGGAGGCAAATACTTGTATTTCTACATCGCTTTCTGCTCTAATAACAATGAAGCTACCATTTTCTCCCTCCAAATTTTCTTCAAGCCCAGAATATGGTCACAGTTTAGACAAAGGCATAAACTTAGAAACTCTTCTATGCTAAGCCCTCTCTGTAATAATCATTTGTTTCCTGCTGGTAAAATAGACTTCACGTATGCACAATGGCAGAGGGTAGGATTGGCCAGGTGTAGAGATTTTTACATAAACAACACTTTTGCTAGTTTTAATAACCTCTCAGAGAAATTCCAATTGTCACAGTCCAGCCTATTTCGTTACCTTCAAGTTCGACATTTTGTTCAATCTCAGAGCTCAACTTTTCCTGACTTGCCACCTACTTCACTATTGGATACAATTCTACTGTCTCCTACTTCTCTTAAAGGCCAAATTGCAACAATATATAGCACGGTTATGTCCTCAAATGATGTTTTAATTGACAGAAAAGGGGTGAGTGGGTAAAGGACATAGGTAGTGAAGTACCCGATGAAGTTTGGGACGAGGCTCTTAATAGAGTAAATGGATCAACCTCTTGTGCACGCCTCAGCCTAATACAGCTTAAAGTCCTCCACCGTGCTTACTACACCAAATGTAGACTTTCCAAAATATATCCAAATGTTGATGACTTGTGTGATAGATGCAAAGGTGAAAAGGTAGACTTTTTTCATATGTTTTGGGCTTGTCAAAAGCTAAATGACTATTGGACATTCATATTTAAAACATTAAACGAGGCCTTTAGCTTGGATATAAAACCTAGTGTTGAAGTTGCTATTTTTGGAGTACCAGAACATGGAGTATAATTGACAAATAAAGTAAAAAAATGTTATTGCTTTTGCCACCTTTTTAGCTAGAAGGAGAATATTATTGGAGTGGAAATCAACAAACCCACCTAAAGCCTCAATGTGGTTATGTGATCTAGTATCATATTTAAAATTAGAGAAAATTAAATATTTAATGAAAGGATCGGTTGAAAAATGTTATCAGACTTGGCAACCCATGATTACATATTTTGAGAAGATGAGGACTCTCCCACCTATTGATCAATGTTAGATGTGATTGTCAATTGGGGTATTGTTTTGTAGTTATGTACGGACCACGAACATGTCAGAATTTCATTATTGGCTACGTATGTTTATTTATTGTATGTAATTGTATGTAATGTTTGTATGTATTGTATGACTTGTATGTAATATATTGTTATTTATTTTGGCGGAATGGGTTATTGTGGAGGAAAAGCTTTAACTTTGATTGTATCTGCTTTATGTTAATGCTTTCAGTTAATGCTTTGAAAAAGTTGATAAATAAATGTAAAAAAAAAAAAAAAAAAAAAAAATTCTTTGTGAATACAGCCCCAGGTCCCTAAGTTAATAACTTATGATCATTGTGACAGAAGTGAATCAATCAAAAATAACTTTAGCTGGAAAATAACTTTATTCTACAGCTGCCATAAAGCCAAAACAATCTGTTACGTTAATTTCCTATTATCAATACCCGACTGAGCCTGGTTTATCCCAAGTTATTTTTCTCCATTCTGCCACCTGATTAGCCTAAGTTTTGGTTCCTGTTAGCAACTTCCTTAGTTAGCAACTTGACCATGACATCATGGTTTAGCTACTTCAGAATAAATGAATAACTTTTTTAAAACAAAATTCTACCGAAAAAAAGAAAATCATTTACACCTAGGATGCCATGCGCAAGTAAATAAATGATGGGGTAATTTACATTTTTTGGTGAACTATCCCTTTGGTCACACTAGTTAATCAAGGGGTAATAGTGTATCAGTCTTTCCAGATTCAGATGAGACCAGTCTACATTTTTATGACTGACTTTAAAAAAATATGACCAGTGTTATGACTGACTTTAAAAAGATATGACCAGTGTAGAAAAAAACTAAGGACTAAGTTTAAGACTAGTCTATGAAGTTTATGCAACTGGCCACAGAACTTAGACTAGGAGACCAGCCAAGACCAGTAACCAGTAACTTTGTTTTTGTTAGAAAAACAAAGTTTACAAAATTACTTTTTAGACTGTGGAAGATACATCAGCCTTAAAAAGGTCTTAGCTATATAGTCATTCAAAAGTTTTAGGTTGGTAATAAATAAAAAAAAAGTTCCCCAAAAAATTATAATTTAGTGTATGTCTCCTGCTCCAGTGGGTTGCATTTATTTTGTCAAAATACAGAAAAAATGATAATATTATGAAACATGACAACTTAAACAAACTGTTTTCTATGATATTTTAAATGCAATTTATTCACGCAAGGACACAATTGAATTTTCAGGATCATTATCATTTTCAATGTAACATGATCCTTCAAAATCATTCTAATATTGGTCCTCAAGAAACATATCTTATTATTATCAATGTTGAAAACAGTTCAACAAACTACCAAATATTTGATTTTTTTTTAAATGAACAGCAAGTTAAAAATAATAGCATTTGAAATAGAAGTGATAGCAAAGATTTTTTTCTACATTGTTGCAAAAAAATAAATAAATAAAAAAATCTATCAATTTAATGTATCCTTGCCGTTTATTCTGTTAATCTGTAAATCTATTTAAAATCTTTTAATATGAAATATATGAACTACTAGAAACAAGCATCTCTCTCCATTTTCTATATGCCAGAGTTGAATCTCAGTTGTGGCCCATTCTGGCCATCAATGCGGATGGCGATACTAGCTGATTTAGATCCAGATGTAAAGAAGGAATGCCTTGTTTGTTGTTGACCGAGAAACTGGCTGCAGCAATTCTATAATGTGGGTTTGCTTGCAATAATTCATGAATGCATCAATAAGCAAGAAACAATAGCAAAAATAATCTAATTTCCATGCTTACTTAAAAAAAAAAAAATCTAATTTCAAATATGCAAATGCAAACTATCCTTTATTTCTATCTAAGCCCTACAAAACATGCCCACACATTTACTGTCTACTAAAGAAAACAGCACAATATGCATTTGTCTGTGTAATTAAATAGGAACAGAGTCCTCTTTTTCTAGAGTTCATAGAAGATTCGAAGTTACCCTTTGCTGAATTCCTGGATCACAAAAAATTAGCTTGGATCTATTCTGAACATTCCTGCATTCTTGTGCAATGACTGTCCCATAAAACATACGTTGAGATTTGCAGAATCAGTTTTCCTTTGATAAAACAAAGTTCAATATAAAAGGCTATGGTTCTCTGCAAAGAAGATGACATATGCCTATTTCTGGTTTCCATCGAATAATATCCTTGTATTTTTCTTTGAAAAAATACTGCTCTGAGGGCAATATTCACTATATATATATATATACAGAAATATGCTCTGGGTTATCAGATATGCTGAATACAGGGGGGGAAAAAAACCCATAATATTTCCAGAGGAAGGAGGTTAAGTAAGATGAGCAAATCAGAGGCAGCCTGTTCCCTAAAGCACTCTAGCTTCAGTGTCAGATTTATTAATAAAATTACACTCAAAACCTTCTACAGACCACTCCTGAGGTCCAAGCCTTGGGTCATTCTATTGCGCTTAGAGTAGAGCAGTGAGAACAGTTGTCAGCAGAGCATCAGTCTGAGAAAGAGGCCAGAATAGAGTGCTTGTATTAGTTGGCTTTGGCTCGAAGCTGGGCTCTTTTTCCAGTGACAGCCTGGAATCCAGTCTTGATGCTGGCTACAGAGCAACGTGAGTGACAGGTTTCACACTGCAAGAAGTAGAGACGCGTGTCCTTCTGTAAAATTGTATCCGGTGAGCGGCAGGTATGACAAGTCACATATTCCTCTGTGAAACAGAGAAAAGAGAAAATATCTTGTCAAAAAAACATTGGGTATTAATTCAGGCATGTGATTGGCTAAGGACAAAAAAGCAGGAAAATATAGACGCTTTCATCAGACGCGTTGCCATGGTGATGAGCTGGCCCAAAGTTAACTTCCGTTCTGTTCGTTTATTAGTGTTTACTGGATAATATGGCATTGACTACAAATGCAGTGAAAGTTAAGGTGATGAGCAGGTTGTTGAGCTGTGGACGTGCAACCTGACCTAGGGAGCAAACGCAATTTTTAAAAATAAAAATGTCAAGGTTTCCTATGAGGGAGACGGCGGTATTAAAATAGCCTAGCTATGTTTATGTAAGTGTTTCCCATACATTTATTAGTGGCAGCCCACCACATTATCAGCACTGACCGTCACATATTTATTTCCGTGTTTTTACCAGTTTAAGATGGGAAAAGTTGTAATTGACTGCAGAGTTGCGTGCAGCGCATATTCGCACACTCTCTCTCTCTCTCTCTATCGCTCTCTCTCGCAAACACATTGACAGCAGACGAGTGTGTATTGAATGGTTAGTCAGAGGTGGGGACAAGTCACACATGGTCAAGTCCAAGCAAGTCTCAAGTCTTAACCATCAAGTCTCGAGTCAAGTCTCAAGTCGCAGTTCAGATAAATCAAGCAAGTCAAGTCAAGTCAAGGGTTCACCCTAAGCAAGTCAAGTCAAGTCCTGATAAGTTTCAAGTAAAGTCAAGTCACACTACTAAAATAAATAGAGGTAAATTTTTTCGATACATATTTATTTTTGCACAGAAAAGATGAACTTTTATACATATATTATGTATCTTACATTTGCTATATTAATAATATGCATATCTGTGCTACATTAATATCTGAAAATAAAATAAAATTGTGTTGTTTACACAAAACGTTTAGAGTCTAAGATGTATCGATTCTAAGATGTATAATCCAATCTGTCTAATTCAATTTAATTGAAACGGTCTAAAATGTATGAAATCTAAAATGTAATATCTTATATCTTATATAAATTTAAAATATAAAATGTATGAAATGTATGAGAATATAAAATATTAACATTAATGTTATATTAACATATTTAAAATATGTTTAAAATAAATATAAAATAAAAATGGTAATATGTTATATTAACATATTTTATATTTAATAAATATTACATATTAAATAATATTATGTATATTATATATTAAATTTACATAAATATTAACAAATGATTGTTTTAATTATGGAATTCTCCATAATTAACTCCTAAACTTCAGTAGAGAACAATTCTTTGTAAGGAAGGAGGGGTTTCTTTATTGTACATTTATTTGCATGTAGTATGTAGCATATGGTTTGCGTTGCTTTAAATTGGTCAGTACAGCGCTGATTATTGAGTGTCGCTAGGAAACACGTCCGCGCTGCGCTGACGAATCGGCTGCGCGGCTCGGATCATTGAACCGTGCAGATGACATGTCTGCGCGGCACGAGCAGTGTCACTGTCTCGTCCCACTTTTGGTTTGTTTGGCTTCCCATATCTCTGCCGTGCACACGCCGCACGCTATGTATGTTATACGCGCAGTATCTCGCTCTAGATTCCGGGAGATTTTAACTCATTTGCGGGCATCAGGGAGACGCTATCAATATGCGTGAGACTCCCGGAACTTCCGTTTGGCGCGGTTTGAATTGAGCAGCGTAAAGGCACAGATGCCGATATATTGATGCTGACGTCATAATATATATTTTAATTAACTGTATTGCTGTTTGTTTATTATATGTTCAAGTCATTGTCGAGTCTTCCACTTCAAGTCAAGTCAAGTCTCAAGTAACTTGTTCTCAAGTCAAAGTCAAGTCAAGTCATTTTTGTACTTTAATCAAGCAAGTCACAAGTCCTGAAAATTGTGACTCGAGTCAAGTCATGTGACTCGAGTCCCCCACCTCTGTGGTTAGTATCATAAATAGCGCTGCACAGATCCATCCAACATGCTGTGGAGACCCACCTTAAAAAAAGGTTAACAAACATGTAAGTAGCCTAGCTAATAAGGAGAGCTACAGTATGTTAACCTTATCAAACCCCGCCGTCGCGCTCGCTACAGTTTTTTTAACACTGCGGTAAATCAGACACGTCGGTAGAAAAACCATCTTGTCTCCAATTTTTGTTCAACGGGACTGGTAGTGTCACATTTCAGTTTGGGCAGGTAACATTTATTTTCTTTGACTGGCAAGAAATACCAGCTACTAGGTTATTTACTTGTTATGGATTGTCTCCACAAGTCTGCCGGAAGTTAAGTTTGGGCCAGATTAATGCACATGCGCAGTACCGTTTGTTTATGTTGTCACTGCTGAAAGCGTCTATACGGAGCCACCCCCCCCCCCTCGCTTTTTTTTTTTTACTCTCGCTTTTTTCCGCAAAGCGAGAGTAAATGTTCAATCAAAGTCAAATATAGTCTTCACTATATAAATTATACATTGATTATTATTAAAGCTACTATTCTATACTATATACTATAACTAAGTTCTCAGTCAAGAGCAGTGAGTGATTTCCTCTGTGTTTTGTTGTTTAATTAAGCATAAATGTTTAAGAGTAAATTATGACAATTACAATTTTCAAAAATTGTAATTGTCATAATTTACTCTCTCAAGTTGTTTTAAACCTGAATAAGTTTCTTTCTTCTGTTTAAGTTATTTGGAAGAATGTGGGTAACCAAACAGTTGATGTACCCCAGTGATTTCCATAGTAAATTTTTCCCTATGGAAGTCAATGGGGACCAGCAACTGTCTGGTCACCCACATTCTTCAAAATATCTTCTTTTTTGTTCAGCACAAGAAATAAATTAATGCAGGTTTGGAACAACATTACAGTGAATAAATAATGACAGAATATTTATTTTGGGGTCAACTATCCATTTCAGAACAAGCAGCTGCATTTTTATTATTAGGGCTACTGTCACTTTAAGACCTGTACGCGACACGTCTAATATACACGGAGCATTTCACAAGCAGATTTCTCTCAATTTTCTCGGTTTGATTTGAGTTTAGACATAACCAAATTTTCTTATGTAAACCTAGTGTGTATTTGAGAGTATTAGCGAAATAATACTCGAAAGATAACTTAGTCCAGCAACCAGGCGCTGTTAGACAAGCTTCAGTGCATGTGCACGTCGGGTGTTCGCGCTCAGAACAGCGCATCAGCAGTGAATGACATCTTTAACCGGCAAGGCTTTAAAGCACATGCAAATTAACTTTTGTGAACTCGCTGAACTGATGTAGCCGTTCCTCTGCGAGTATTTGTCGCGTTGTACACTAATGCTGTTGAGACGGAGGTGTCAGGACTGCAACTGACAGAATGCACGATATAGCTGCTACATATTTCTACAACAGTCAGCAGCTTGCTTGGAGCAACATGGATCATAGCGCAAATTTGAAATATATCGATATATCGCCCAGCCCTGGTGACCTAACTGTGATGTTGTCAATTGACAACGATACCAGCGCGAGAGCGACTGAGATACGAAATTGAGCAGGTGAACAAGCTGAACCAATTAGACATTCTCTGGCTGAACGCAAATACGTCCTTGTTGCAGGGACGTGCACAGGAATTTTGAGGGGCAGTTGCTCTGACCTGAAAAAAGGGCACCCCCCCCCCCCTCCTCCCCCCTCACGGGCTATATGAAGGAATATATTCAGTTGAATTTGTCCCCTTCCAAATTGCCTTATCTGGCCGTGTTTGTCCAAACGCAATGCCTCTTATGGTCTTATAATTATTTATAAAGATTGCAAAATGTCAGAGATGAGACAAATGAGCAAAAGAGTTCTTCATATTGTTGTTTATTGTTTTTTAAATTATTATTTATTTATTTATTTGAAAAGAAATAATCTGGATTGAATGGAAAAAACTCGAAAAAAATAAAAAACGCTTAGATTTCGGGAAAAAATACAATTCTTTTTTTTGCCAATCCTGACCTCCCCCTGGGGCCCTAAGCAAAATTCTGCTAAATGGCCCTCTACCTGATCTGTGATGCTGTGAGCCATGTAAACCATTTGCCATTGCCACTCAATACCGCCCAATACAATCCTCCCTCCTTTAAACAAAACAGTCAAAGAATAAGTACAACAATATAGAACAGAATGAGGTTCAAACAAACAATATTTACTGAATAAAGCATTTTTATAGAATGTTAAGATAACAAGTGAATATTAACGTAAACATAAACAAGAAGAAAATAATAAAAGTACAACCCTGAACTTTGGCTTTTGGGATTAACTTTGGTTCCCTCTACAGCCTGGGTGTTTTCGGAATCAGTAGCCTATGATTTTTATTTATTTTTTTATTTTTTTATGCATGTTAAAGCAAATCTTGATTTATGGTTATTTACTGAGGGATTTGCATTCATATTGACCAGAATGTCCATCTAAACATCATTTTAAATTCAATATAGCCTAAAAATCAATAGTCAATCAATGTCAAATTGCCAATACATGGTTTATATCTTGCATAATTAGTGCAGTTAGTGAGTTTTTAACTACACTGAGACTAGATAATCAGTGTCTTTATAATGTGTACTTTGATTGGGAGTGCCATCATTCACGTATTGTAGCTACAGTATTTCTCTGGTCTCCACATTTCTGCTTGAAAAATGCGAGTTTCATTTCGTGCACGCGCATATGAACGCAACACACGCGACGCGGTTATGTTTTCCGAGCTGCAGTAAACAAACACTGTTGTTGCACTTTGTCGTTTATCAAAAACAAAACGCAATAAATTATGGTATTTTACTCTCACTTTTGTCAGGCAAAAAGTGATGCAAGAGATGCACTGCCTGCCCAGACAAACCATCAAACTTTGCTGACACTAGAGAGGAGAGAACACAAGTTTACCTGACTGCTGTTCCCGCAATTCACTCTCTTGTTTTTCTTCTTCCTCTTTTCGTGACGAGAAGGATAGTTTCGCTTCATTCGTACACATTAATTAGCGCGCGACACGAGATGGAGGCGCGGCCTGAGTAATTTGCGGTGCCTTACCATACGGTCGCGTGCAGTCTATGGTCTCGTGGAAACAGTTTGACTTTCTAATTTTTTTTTTTTTTTTTTTTTTTTTTTGGAAGTGAATGAGGCTTTGCGATTTTTATATTATTTTTTGTCTAGGCCTACGTGAAATTCTACATCCATTGTACGATTTTTTTTTTCCTCAGAAGGGCAACCTGAGTCGAGATGGGCATATGGGCAGTTGCCCGGGCAACCTGAGCAACCCCCCTGTGCACGTCCCTGCCTTGTTGATACTTTGAAAGGAACTTTCTGTACGCACGTCAGCCAGTTATGGGTTATGTCCTCATATTCTCTCCTTTTCACTCCAGCTGCCGACACCCGCCCCCCTCTTTTTTTTTTTTTTTTTACAGATCTGCATGATTCACGTAGGTCACATTTTCAGGTCGGAAAATCCGGAATTCCGGATTAATCCGGAAAAATCACATCCCTAAATCCTGCATGTGAGGTAAACCGCTAATTTTGATGTAACATGTGGAATAATATTTAAATTGTCAATTGCATTGCGGGTGTTGGTCGGGAATCAATAAGCACTGGCGGACTGCGGTTCCAATAACCAGGAGACTACTTTGCCTCAACTCGGTACCCACTGATGGGCAGCTGCTTACAAGTGGTCCCGTGCTTATTTGTGTTTGCGCTCTATAGTCTGAAGAACGTCAAATGTTTATAATGTTTCAACGTGGTTTAGCATTGAGCAGAGCCAGCGTTTGCAAGCTGCCTGCAACTGTAATGATTGACAGGTTCAGTCCATCTGAACATGGTCAAATTAAATTATGCCATATTTGATGAGAGGTAATGGCACAGTACAGTACATACATGAGTTGAACAATAAAATTAAAATACTGATCAATATAGTGTTACAAGTTCATATATATATCATCTGAACATGGTCAAATTAAATTATGCCATATTTGATGAGAGGTAATGGCACAGTACAGTACATACAGGAGTTGAACAATAAAATTAAAATACTGATCAATATAGTGTTACAAGTTCATATATATATATATATATATATATATATATATATATATATATATATATATACACACACCATCTATATATATAGGTGATCAATCTTCCCTGATTTTATATTCCACTAGTAAGAGCAAAGAGTGAAGGTTAAATTAGCAGACCAAAGCTATACATAAAATATTGCAATCCACACAACATAATGGGAGACGCCAGTTCAAAAGTGAACCAATTGTTGGTGCACGTCTTGCTGGCAGATAGTGCACCAATTCACACACATCAAGGCTCAGGGTTCGTACAGATACTGTAAAAAGAAATTCCAGGACTTTCAAGCACTACTTTTTTGGTTTCCAATGACTACAGTTAGAGATCTCACTTATCAAATAATATCTTTATTATCCTACTAATTCTAAAAAAGGTGAACAGCTGTATCAAATATAAAAAAAAAGATACTGTATGAGCAATATCACGCTCATAGCCTTGTGAAAGGGCATATCTATATAAGATGGGCTACAGCATTAATTTTGAGTGAAAAGAATGTATTTGTTTTTCACACAAAAAAACAACAACAACGAAAAAAGTCAGTTAAGGTTTTCCTCCGCCAGCATATAATTTTGCCCTACACTAATAATAAATGATTGTGGTCTAAAACTAGGTGTTTCAGTTTCATTGTCCAGCCCCTGTACAATAGCATGTAGAATTGGTACACCAGCTACATATTCATAGATTCAAAATATGTGACTTACTTATATATCTTCTCAAGACATTCTCTATTTGTTTCTGTTGAAAGCGTCCTTTGATTACAAGCTGGTTATTTCCATCTATGGAGCCACTAGATATAAGACGACATCTCTTTAGTTACAGGAAAAATCACGTTTTCACATCTGACAATTATTGAAAAGCAATTAATAACTCACCTTGTTCCTAACTCAGCCAACAAGAATGCCAAAAGATGTTTGGGCTGTCGATGCAACCTAAATATGAAAAAGTACACATGCTATGGTTTACCAGACAAAATTAGGCCAATATATTAGAATCACTGGTTTGATTAAATTCATATATTGGTCAATGTCAATAACAGTGTCCATATTAAAGGAAACCCCTTATTAGAAAGATACTGTTTGCACCATGTTGGTTTCATAAACTCACAAATTTACCATTATCCTCACTCTGAATACATGTGTGTACTTCTTCACTTTCAAGAAGATTTTAAATTATTTTTTAATGTAAAACTTTTTTTTTTACACATATCATAAATTATATATAAATAAATTAATAATTAAATTAGACATTTTAGACATTAAACAAAAACATTTTAAATTATATTTAATATATTTTAGTCATTTATTAATAATAATATGAAATATCATATGATTTGTCATTTTACAACCTGAACTAACCTTGACTTGTTGACAATTTTAAGATATACCTTGAGACAGTAATGAGGGGCATGTTTTTTCTTTTCTTTTTTTTTTTTTTTTTTTTTTTGCATTTTAGTGCATTTGCTTTGTTTGGCCGACACATCTTTTTCAAATATTAAATTTTAATTTGACTATTATTTTATTATCATATCAGGACAGTTGTATCACCCTGACAAGTCCCTTTAAATTGAATCTTCAGAAACATGCTTCAAGAAATTAAAAAATATATGCTTGTATTCAAGTCATTGTTAGTATGATTTTTTTTTTAATGTATTTTCGAATAAATAAAAAAGTAAAAGGACAAAAATAGTGTAATGTGTGACTAACCCATATATCATCCATTGCAATATTTCCTTGAAAATACATTCAGTCAAAGGTTTTTTTTTTAAGACCATAAGCATTCCAAGTTTTCTAAAGAACCCAGATTCAGCAGAAATGCTGAAGTGTTTGAAATGCTGAAGTGTTTTCACTCACAGTTTGCAGATGTCAGTGAAGTTTACAAAAGATGTTTTCTTTGTCCCAACTCGGACCACCTGAGGCGGCTTCATCACAAACTTCCTCTTCTCTCCTGCAACCATATCAGGATTTTTCTCCCTCATGATGTTAAACACCCGGCTCAACAACTGTAAAGACAAAGACAAGTAAATAATGTAACAAATTGAAAGAAAACTATGTCACAAACACTGGGTAGAAGAGAGAAAGTACTCATCTTATGAATCAACTTCATACCTCATCATAAGTGTAATCTCTCTCTGAATCTGCCCATGCTGGGCCTGATTGTGAGCTGAATGTGATGCCTTCTGTGCTTTTATCATCCTCGATGACTGTAATAAAATATATGTGAGGAATTGAGACATTCACATTTTTAATCAGCGCAATTTAAATCTTTGTCATAAGTCTAAAGATTAGAAGATTCATAATTTGAAACAGTACATCATGTAGTGCATTAAACACCTGGAAAAAACATGATTTTCCCCCTGGCATTAATGTCAATGTCACTATTTATACAAGCACAATGTAAAACAACAACAGTGGACCAGTGTGCTGTACATAGCATAATATAGAACTCAATAGAGTATAATATAGAACTCAGTAGAGATCGATTAAACAAACAATAACCAGTCAAAATAGGCACAACATCATTGATTTAAATCTATAGAAAACATATAAGATTTAAAGTTGATTAAAAATTAGGGATACACCGATACAGCACATGTGTCATGTGGATTAAAACTAAATTAAAACATGAAGCGCTATCTGATTTATGTATAGCAAGTGGTTCCCTACATTATTCCAGGACGTTTGCAAGTCAAAAAGTTTCATGAACGCAAACATCTGAAGCGCGTGCCCCAAAAATTTGCGTCTCAGACAGCGCATGAATACTTAATTGAATTCTCTTTCACATCTTGCACTTGTATGGACAAATTCACACAAAATTTGGTAAAAATACCCTTTCTTGGGGAGTATCCTAGTAAACATAGTCAGTTATATCTCAAGTGAATGTAGACAGTAGCCTATTGGACCCATGCATTCGGTCATAAAGGGACATCTAATAAACCTGCTGCTGTTTTAATGTTAATCAAATCAAAGAATGACAATGACAAAGAAATCACTAACTGCTCTTTATAAAGATCCATCTATATTTAAAATATAAAGCAATGAATATATGGTGTTATTTCACATTTGATTACTTTATTCAAATTTCTGTACCTCAAAACTACTGTTAGAGCTACCTGAAAAAAAAAACAGCTGTTTATTTCATTTGTAGCCTTTCTTTGTTCCATTGTATATTTTTGTGCTATTTGTAATTTGATTATTTTATCTTATTTTATAACTGATCATTTATGTGTCTTTAATTATGTTTTAAATTTAAATTATTTAGGCTAGTAGTAGTTTTGCTGTAGTATCAAAATTGGAATAGAGAATTGTGAGTATCTATTTCACTGCAGTCTAAACATTTGAACCATTGACCCAATCCTCAGCACTGAGCCCTGCTGAAGCAGCTCTAAATATAGTGCTTAAAAAGGGGTGGTTGATTATGATTTCACTTTTCTAACTTTAGTTAGTATGTAATGTTGCCGTTTAAGCATAAACAACATCTTCAAAGTTCAAAGCAAAGGGAGATATTTGCTTTTAAGGAAATAGTTTAAGGAGGACTACAACAAACGGCTGGTAAGAACTACACAAACTTACTCCCGGGTTAGTGACATCACTAACCCTAACATTTACATAAACCTAGCCCCGGGAACACGCAGTTCATGTTGAGAAGAGGAAGACAGTTGTAGTCAAGCACATTTGTGAGTCAGCTCAAACTGTAGCATCCATCTAGCACTCTGTGTGCATCTCACAACAGTTCCTATACAAGTGATCTATAGATTATTCTGACAGAATATGCTAATTGAAGATAGTTATCTCCCCAACAGCAACATAAATTCATCAACTAACCATTTAGAGATGTCCTGTTGCATTCTACATGTTGTCACTTCTTAGTCTCTCCCTCTTTGTCTGACTCCAGTTTAAACATAAAAGGCAGAACAGTTTCTGACATTTTAGCATGTGTCTGTGTGAGGTAATCAGAGCTGCACTGTTGAACACACTCTGTTGCTGCAGATCATTTGTATTTAAAGGGCCAGACACAAAACAGAGTGTTTTTGATAACCCTTAAAAAGTGACAACTTTAACATGTTATATAAAAAATATCTGTGGGATATTTTGATCTAAAACTTCACATACACACTCTGGGGACATCAGAGATCTTGTGAAATGGGCATTATACCACCCCTTTTAAGGCATTTCACCCATTTCAACATTAATCTTTATTGAAAGTGGATCATATATGTAGTCGAAATGTAAAATAATTTTTGAATTTGGTGCCCTCTTGACCGAGAAAATAACCAAGGGGCACATTTGTAAGACAACTCCCACAATGCACCACATTGCACAGCTCCGCAAGCCACACCGACTAATCCGGAACAGCGCAAACAAAGAAATCACTCTTCTGTCTACAGGGCTAACGTTAGCTGTCACCAGAGTTTGAAATTCATTTCACACAAAATTTCTAGTTAGATGGCTGTGGCAAGCAGGACGATCGAGGGCGAGGGACGCAAGAATAAAATGAGGAGCGACAACGGCAGATCGAGAAAGAAACAGGCCTGATTTTATAATGTGTTTTGTTTCTGTTGTGTGTAACATTACAGTAGTCGTCAATGAGGGGCTGCTGGCTTATACTTTCGTTTTGTATTTGTTTATTTTACTATTAAAATGTTTAAATGTTGGCCGGTTCCCACCTCCTCCTTCCCACAACAACAAACCCCGTTAAAGGAGAACTCCGGCGCAAAATGAACCTTTGGTCTAATAAAACATTTTTATCGCTAAAACAACAATTTTATCTCTAAAACTCACTGATCTGTATTAGGCCTGTAGGGTGAGTGGGTCCCACAACCTTGAATAATAATGAGCTAATGTTTGTAGTCTCTACACTTTTTAATGAAATGTGACTTCCTGCTTATTATGACACAAAATGACGATTTTTACATCATAACAAGCAGGAAGTAAAACACTTAAATCCTTATTTCTCCCATCTCATGAGAAAATAAGGGAATAAACAATGATTAAACTAGATTAAAGACGCATCTCTTTAGTCAAGCATTCACATAATGCTTACCTTCTAGTCCTCTGTTATGCCATACGGAACCGTTTGCCACTGAAACTGCTTAACGCACCAGTGGGGCTCGACAGCCTTTTAGACAAACGGGTCGGCGCGTATGGTTGGGTTGCGGAGAGTTCGGGTTACGGAGAGTTTGTGAGTTATAACGGAAATCATTATGAACATCAGCTATGCTAATTATTTCCCATCTGCCTTTCTGCTGTTATCTCGGGACGCTTGTCCCGAGAAAAATGGCGTTCGTCAGGTCCAGTTTTGTGTCCAGCCTCTCACGGGGATTTCGGATGCCCCAACGCCTGTGATGAGACGACTCAACGCCTGTGATGAGACGACTCAACGCCTGCGATATGTTATGGCGCCGTTTGATTCATAAACAATATTTATATTTAATATTTATATTTAAACAATATGAATGTAAGCCAGAGGAGAACTGGCCCCCGACTGAGCCTGGGTTCTCCCAAGGTTTTTTCTCCATCCAATCTGATGGAGTTTGGTTCCTTGCCACTGTCGCCTTGCTTTTGGCTTGCTTTGAGCTTGCTCAGTTGGGGTTATTTAGTGTTTAGCAATGTTGTTGATCTGTGTTGTGCTACTTTCATGTTATCACTGTGAAGCTGCTTTGATACAATCTGTATTGTGAAAAGCGCTATATAAATAAATGTGACTTGACTTGACTTGACCATTCAAATATGACTGTTTCTAAATATACAAAGCTTAATGCAAATAGGTGAAGTGTCCCTTTAAACAATAGAATGAAAGTAACTGAAGCTCATACAATACATTTTAGCAGGCTAATTAAGCATGAAAATAACTGAAAGAAATATTTATTTGCTGAAAAAATTAGCCAACTAATATGATTTATATTATTTTGGATTCTCTAGCCAATACATTTAAATATTATAAATGCAGAGAAAATACAGGTATTGGTACTCTATATCGGCAAGTACAAAAATGTAAGTATCGGTATCAGACCAAAGTGATATTGGTGCACCACCATTTAAAATGATACTGTTGAAGCAGTTCTAATAGTAACAGTTTTGGCGCAGCTACTACAAATTCCCGGTCACCTCTAAAATTTAATTTTGTCCTTTGAACCTTTTGTCCTTGGTTTGAGGATCTCAGAGACCTCCCCGAGCAACATTCTGACAAGAGATCAGTAAGATAAGATGTTGCCACTGTTTGTACTGTTTGTAGCAGTCCGACAACCAGTGTAATGGAATTAGTGAAGGTTTTATATACATGTTTCTTGACACCAGTCAGGAGCCTAGCAGCTGCATTTTGTACCACTTGTAGTCTAGAAAGACTAATTCCTATAAAGAGTGAGTAACACTGTATTTCAAACTTAAAAAACTTAAACCTGACATTATAATTCTAAGTAACACAAACTGAATTATTTTCTGAATAACTGGATCTGAATTTTTGCAGACATATGGAAGAAAACATATGTAGAATAGAAGTTGTCTCTAGCAAAAAAAGGTAAACCATAAATCAGCTGAGATTTTGTAAAAAATCTGTTAGTCAGTTGAGGCTTATGTGAATTTAGCAGTAATATTTCCTTGTAGATTGCAGTACATGCTTACTGAAAGCTTGATTATAAATTTTTCTGTTACTCCTGACTTTTATATTCACATTTTCTAAATAATATTATTAAGCAGCACAACAAAACTAAATGAAGTGTATGTTCATACCATCGTCTTGTTCCACAGTGTCTCTCTCCTCAACAAATTCCACTTTTTTTGGTTTCTTTTTTTTAGCTGGAAGCATCAAGTCCAAATCATCTTCCTCCATTAATTCCTGCTGGTCTCCTTCAATTCTCAGCTCCTGCTCACCAATAAAATGAAGAGTCAACAGCCATTAGAAGAACTATCAGATACAAGAAAATATGCTTAATGGGCATCACATTAGTGATGGGAAGTCCAATTCTATTTCCACAAACTGACTCTTTCAGACAGTTTGTTTTAATAAACCAGTTCAAAAGACAATGCACACAATAAGGCTTTTCACACTGCTAAACCCTTTATCATCACTCTAACCCCTGGTTTTAATGCATGCTAAAAAAGCATTTCACACATTTTAGAAGCAGTGTTAGTACCGTGTTTTCCTCGGGATTACAGGGCTTTTGCTGTCTCAACCCCGTATTGCGGTGCCAAACGTATAGTTTGAAATGAGGCAAGTTCTGGAATGCTACGGCTAGATGCTTTGCAACAGACAGCCAATCAAATGCCTCATAATCATGTTTTATAGTCACAGAAACACTGTGTGTTGCTAAACATTAGGCTATATTTCAGTGTTTGAGCGGAACATTTTTGAACTTATGACAATTGGAGTCAAGAAAAGATTCATTCTTACCTTTACAGCAAAAAAAAAAAAAAACTCCATTTAGTATACCCGATAGTATCGGCGGCAATATATAATATGAGGATTCGCAATGCAAGGCATTTCCAATTCATGACACTCACTGACACCGCAAATTTGAGAAATGATAACACAGGATTCAATTTACCCAGGGTTTAGAATGACACGAGGTTAACCATTTCAGGTGTGAAAAGCCCATTGCCAAAGTGCATTGTATCAAATGATTAATTGTTAGAATAATTGTACTGTGCTGGTACACAGTAGTTAAAGACAGTTAATATTAGGGGGTTCCATTTTTAAAATAATAATATTATTTGCAGCACACTCTAAGTGATTTAAAGTCGATAATAAAACAGAAGTTGCGATCGTCTTTTCTTCCCCATTGCATATCTAAGTGAAATGGATACTCAAGGAAAAATGTTAATGGTTTAGATTAAAGATTATTATTTAAAAAAAATACATATATTATTTTAAAAAATGATCACGTGAATGGACAAATCATTTAAGTGTTAGTACATAGTACTAAAAGACACCTAAAAGAGGGTCCCATTTAATTATCCAGCTAAGTAGGCTACTGGTCACAGAAAACTAATTTTCTGGTGAAAAACATTTCATGTGTATTGCACATTGAGTGAATCACTAAACAATTCCCAGACAATTTCCTTATAAATAAACTGCTAACCTTTATGCCTTCTTCAATGTCATTTTCAAACACCTTCTTTGGTTTCTTTTTCTTCTTTTTCTGATTAAAGAAGTTCAGATCATCTAAATCATCCGAAGTCTCTGTAAAGATAGTTGGAGAAAAGGGTCAACATATCAAATTAATTACAAACTCCTACACACAACTTTTCAAAGTTCTGGTTTAAATACATTTGTTCCGAAACATGACTAAATCCAATGCCACGGTAAGAGGTAAGAGAAAAACAAAACACTGCATGGTTTATGGGAAAAATGTCCTCTCACCCTTTTTCTTGATGTCATCATCTTCAGGGTCCATTTCTCGCTCCTCTCCTGCTTCAGGCTCAACTTCTCTCAGTTCAACCTGTTGGGCTTCCTCTCCAAGCCCATCTCCATCTTCGTCGAGCATGAAGGGCTTCTTCTTCTTCTTTTTCTTCTTTGATGTAGTGGGGTCGAATAAAATCTGGACACATAAAGGACCAGAATCATTTGCTAATAATACTCACCCGTTTTTTCTAATCAAGCAATGTTGAGTGTTCTTTATTAGTTTTTGCATTTTATTCAACTAGAAATCAATAGACTACGTAATAATGCGATAAAAAAAACAGCACATGCAGCCTAGAGCACGTTATAGGCAACACTGTAACTGCTCTCAAATCTATTCCAAAGTCACAGCACGATTGAACATTTCCACTAAACGGTGAATATTTACAAAATATAAAAATAGACCACCACAATACCTCGTCTTCTGACATGATTGAATTAAATATCAATGCTTTACGTCCTGGTAAATATACTTCACACTACTCTCTAACTACTCTCATCCACTGTCTTGCATCAGCACAATCGGAGAGCTAAGCGCGCAAGCGTTCTTCCGACGACAAATGATTACATCATCTCCACGTCTACGTCTACGTCTACGACAATACCATGCGACTTTCCATGGCTGCGCCGCGCCCGAAACAGGAAAAGAAGCTTACTTCACGACAGAGGGACATTTCAATTCTAGGACGAATTTACTTAACTAAGATGGAATGTTTATCGAGATGTATTTACCCTGCCTACTCCAATGCCATTCCAAACAAATTAATTAAATCTATCAACCAAATCAACCTAAACTTCGTTTGGAGAAATAGACCACATTATATGAAGAAAAGCAATATGGTTAAAGACACAAAGGATGGAGCCTCATGGAGGACTAAAAGTTATTGATTTTGACTGCCTTAATAGAACCTTAAAAATAAATTGGTTAAAATCTTGGATCAAACACAACAACTGTTTTTAGTATTGTATTCCAAATAGCCTAGTTTATTCAAGAAAATAGGAGGATTAGAATTTCTTCTTAGAGTGGACTTTAATGTTGACAAATTACCTATGCTTGTCAGAGTTTCACAGACAAATACTTTTGTATTGGAAAATGTTGTACGTTCATAACTTCTCACCCCACACATATGTACTCTGGAACAACAGATATGTTCTGTACAGATCTCTGTTGTACATTTAGACTACATTTATTTTTTTGTTGTATTAAGTGCTGCCCCGTTTGGCTATATTTTCTTTGTATTCTATTTGCAGCCATGTTTGTTTGTAAATCTTGAAATTGCAATAAAAAAAAAAGTAATTACTTCACGAGAATCACGAACGCAAAAAAAAAAAAAAAAAAAAGTATGTCAGTATGAATGTTTGTAATATTAATGTAATCTGGACGTAGCCTATACCTACATTCGACATGGCATGTTGTATTTTCTTTTAAATCATAAATGGGCTTCATTAATTTGGATTTATTGTTATTATTATGCTAGTCACATTACAAATATTAAACATGATAATAGTCCAACATATAATATCAAAATATTGAACAATAGCTGATAGAGTAGGCTACAACAAATGGGAAAAGAAAATATAAATAATAATAAGTAAAAAGAAAGAAAAAATATATTACAAACAGAAAAGGCAACAGGAATGAGATCATCATATAAATACCATAAAAGATTGATATAGAGACCTAGTGTGTTTTTCTTTGCTATTTTTCAACCCAAGTAGTAGCCTAACTCAATGTTATTTTTCATATCTATCTGAAATAACAAAAAATTGTTTTCCTTTAGCCCATTATTCACTGTCAGAAAAAAAGGTACAAAAGCGGTCACTGGGGCGGTACCTTTTCAAAAAGGTACACTTTTGTACCTAAAGGGTGCATATTGGTACCATAATTGTACAAATATGTACCATAAAGGTACCAATATGCACCCTTTAGGTACAAAAGTGTACCATGAAGGTACCAATATGCACCCTTTAGATACAAAAGTGCACCTTTTAAAAAGGTACCGCCCCAGTGACAGCTTTCGTACCTTTTTTTCTGAGAGTGTTGTTTATGTATATGGAATTTCCCCATAATAAAACAAAGATTAAAAATTAAGACAACACTTCTATCTTTGTCTATTAAAATAAAAATGCATCTCTTTCAGAAACGTAAACTTTAATGGCTAAGCATTCAAAGGAAACATTCCAAATCTATCCAAAACATTTTATATCTATAAATGCAATTAAAAAATAAGTGGGCAACACTTTCTTTCTCTGTCACACAGAAATCACATTTAACATCTACATCAGAGCAAAACCTACGAAAAAGAGTTTTAACTTTACTGCAATATTTTTTTGGCAGCAGCCATGCACATATCCAGTTAATGTTCTCAGGTTTAGAATGCCAGTATGTTTTAGAATATATTGGGCAGTTTTCTGTTTGTAACTTCCTTATAAATTAATTATTCCATCTTATATAATAGTAACTCCTTTAATTGAAGCATCAGATCTGAGACCCACAGCCTCCTAATTCACTTCCTTTCAACAGATATTTTAAACCGGATGATATAGCACCAAATATTATACAATATTCTTTATTCTTTAATATTATTGAATAAATTCTACGCATACCCTATTTTCATTAAATAACTTTTTGAAAAATATAGTGCCATTATCAACCATTATGATTTTTGAGTTTTATGTTTAAACATTATTTATCTGTTATTCCAAATTATACATTTGTTTGGAGAAAAAATATGTTAAGATTAGCATCCACGAGAGTTGCAAGTGCCTGTGAAAATGAATTAATCTATACTGTAACTGGAATCTTACTGATTTCAAAGTTGCATTGCAACAGAAAAGCAAGCCCACCCATCTTTTTAAAAAATTAGATTAGGAATTAAACACCAACTTTTATTTTTGTATTGAAAGAAATGGTTGATCCATCTAATCTTTAAAATTGCATTTGAAGTGCTGAAATCAAGTACATTTAAACCTATATAACCAACCAAATTAGTTAAGGTATTTTTTAATGTAATATTTCTCCAAATGAAATTGAAAAGATTTTAATTGACTTCTTTAATTATGTTATTCGGGACTTAGTGAAATAACAGGACAGAGCAGATGAGATAAACATTCAGGTTTTGATTAAATAATTATTTTCTTCTCAATGACACATTGAACACCTATTCAATTTCTCACGAATGCAATTATCTAGTCAACCAGTCACATGGCAGTTGCTACAATGCATTTAGGGCTGTGGTCCTGGTCAAGACAATCTCCTGAACTGAATCCAAACTGAATGTCAGAATGGGAAAGAAAGGTGATTTAAGCTATTTTGAGCGTGGCATGGTTGTTGGTGCTAGACGGGCTGGTAGCTGTATGTAACAACATTATTTACAGGGATGCCATTAATATCTAGAAGTTCACTATTTTTAATAACTCACATTTGTTTACATTTATTTTTAACTATGAAACCGGTAAAAAATGTTATTCAAAAAATCAATCACACGTTTTTTCTAATGAATCTCTAATAAATATTAGTGTATCATAATTTACTAATTGACAGCATTTTATTTATCTTTCTAAAATCCTGATTCTGTGAAAATTATATTTATATTGTAATATTTGTAAACGAGTCATTGTCTGAGTTACAAGTAAAAACAAAAAAGGAGATTGGGCATCCCTTGCCTTATGCCTCTTTTTCTAAAAGAGATATGGGGATAGTACCAAGTTTTATGCTATTACACCCATTATATAATATATAAATGGCCCTTTTAAAGAAATTACCAAAGCCAAAAAAATCCCAATTCTCAAACATAAATTTGTGGTCAACGGTGTCAAATGCTTTATGAAAATCTACAAAAAATATAAAACTTTCACTATCAATATATACTCATAATCAGTTAAATCTAGGACTAAGCGAAAATTATTACTTACTGTATTGTCTGCCCTACATGATCCTGATTGGCATGTGACCTACCAGTGTCAGTTTTGTAGTGTTCAGTTTTCAGTTTTTTTTTTCAGATACTTTCAAACACCAAACAGAAATAGAAAGAAACAAATTTCTCATATCATAAAATATAAGCATAAAAAAAACAAACAAATATGGACATATACACACAAACACACACACACACACACACACACACACACACACACACACACACACACACACACACACACACACACACACACACACACACACACACAAACATATCCATACATATGCATTACAATTATTCCATTTAAATAAAATAAATGAATAAATAAATAAATAAAAATACAATAAAAATAGCTAGCCACAGAATATAAATAGTAAATTCCTCTTACACAGCCAATAAATATAAGCGAATAAAAAAATTAATCACTATAGTATCAGGGAAGCTTACCAAATATATTTTCATAGCACTCTATAAGTCTATTACACTTCTTATTATCTATCAGGGTAAGAGAATTGAAAAGTAATTTCAGTTCTACTAAAAATAAAGGGAATGAGGGTTGAGACCCTAAGAATTTCTGCTTATGAATAAAAAATGTCCCCAATAAAATGAGAAAGTTCACCACATGAATTAGAGATTGATCCTTACTATTATCATAATAACATATTACATCCTTGAGAGAAAAGTTATAAATCATCATGGGAGGATTGAATATGAAATAATTTAAATCAGACCAAAACTTCTTTGTAGAATCACAATGAAAGAAAAGATGAGTAAAAGTTTCATCAGCACATCCACAAAAAGAACAGGAGCTATCAACATCCACATATTTGGATATAATTGAATTTACAGGATAAATTTTATGTAAGATTTTAAAATGCACTTCTTTTACCTTGTTGGAAATGCTAAATTCATTAGGTAAAAGCCATGTTTTTTTTCCATCCAACTGTGAATTCCAGAAAAATTTTCCTCTTGGAACGACTTTGTTTTTACTTTGCAATATTCGACGAATATATTTATTGTTACATTTTTTATCAAGTAATTGAATGCCGTTCAAAGACAATGTAGGTTGAGGATATGGGGTATTTACTTTATTAAAAAGAACATGACAAATCCTCTACCGTGGCATCATGGGATAATAAAATGTCCATCGTCTGCACACTAGAATCTCGCCGGAAGTAGGTCGTCCGTGACCCGCGTACTTAATTTTTTATTGAACAATATGTCATGTACAAACAACATTGCAACAAAAATATATCTTTACAATATTACTAGGATAAGGTGCAAAAGTGCATAACAGAAAATAAAGTAAAAGAAAAAAAGGGCGCTAGGGTTTTACTTTTCAATTCATATTCTTCTATTGTAGCAAAGTCTTTTTGTATTTTCACTTTTCATCATTTTTTAGAACATTTGTATAGGGACGAAACACATTGTGAAATTAGGTTTTACTTTCTTGCCTAATCTTTCACAAATAGAGTGCCGAAGTTAAGACGTCACTCTGTAGACCAAAACGCGGAAGTGAGAGCATCTTAGCACTACGGTTCCCTCGCTCTAAAGCCTATGGGATTTTTGAATGGGTTTTTGCTAAAGCGCTTGAAATAAGGTCTGTGGTGAACAAAGCCTCTAAATATTTCCATGTTTTGATATATGACATAGAACACACAGTTATAACCTGCTTGTATTTTTTTTAAACTTTATTGTGTATGATTGTGTTTTTTAAAATCTTTATATAGGCTTAAAAATGTATAAATTTTGGATTAACTTGCATTGAAAATGCATTGCTTTTCGACCGATGGAACCCATGCGCTGCTAGCTTCCGAGTTGTCCATAGACATTGTCCTACAAAATGACATCATATTGTCACATGACCCTCTGTTTTCCGCCTATGGTATAGTTTTTTTTTTTATTATTGAACTTTTTCTTATTACATTAAACAATAAAGAAATCTGACAAAGAAAAAAAAAACATATGACATTCTCAAAATGTACAATTTAAATCTTATTGTATTACAATTTCAAACCAAGAATCACACCTCCCCCACATCATCCAAAAAGACATCCTTTACACTGTTCACATGACAAGGATGCTATTTCAGGTGTTGCCAAAGATGTGTTTCATTTTAGATTTATAATAATTATTATTATTTTTATTATTAGTTTGGTTTGTAGCTTCTTCCAAACATGTATGGCAAACACCATGAATCGAACATGTCATGAGGTTTATTTAAAATTAAGCCATCTAAACCCCTTACCTACATTAAAGTAAAATAAAGAACATGAAAAGGGACTTAGTAAGGAATAACAAAAAAGACGAGAGGAATAAACAATATACACCACACTCTTCCCAGTAAATTTGATCCGTCAGCTGAGGGATTTTGCAGTTAGTCATTCAAAGACATGCCATTGTTTGCCATTAAATAAGGCACATAACATATCACACATCATTGTATGCTTTTGAGTACAAGAACCAAGACAGAAGTGACTTTTTTATACATAATTTTAACAAGAACTACGGTAGATGCCACAGAAAGACTAACACCACCAAAGAAAAGGAATCCAAAAGTTTAATGATCTCTCAAATAAACACCCTCTGATTTTTTTCAAATATACACAAACACCAAATATGCCTCAACCTGAATAGATACAGCATTTTTCAAAAAAGTATATGCTCCCTTCGGAGGAAAAAAAATGTAGTATTGTTTATTTTGTATGTTTTGAATAATTACAGTCATCTACTGCCAGGAGGAAACCCTCAGGATATCAATGAATCAGACCAGAAAATATCTCAGGGGGAAAAGTCTGTTATTAAATAGGTAATTCTCTGCAACTATTCGGACACAGTACCAAACAATACATGATGGGCAGTCATTATATATATATATATATATATATAATTAAGCTAATGTCAGTTAATCCAGGGTTTTTTGTTTGTTACCAAACCATTATGGTATTGCCAACAAGATGTAAAAATGTTTATGTTGTTGGAAGTGCTGAATAACATTAATAACAGAACACATTAAGATCAAAGTTTGAAGCAAACAACAGCACTGAACATATTTAATATATCAGACGAGATGAGAGAAAGTGAATATGAAACTTGTGTGTTGGCAAACATGCTAATTTCATGACAAATCAAAACAACCAGTTTCTGAAGTCAAATAAAAAACCAAAAATTAGAAACATTAATGCATTACCTTACAATGGCCAAATATTTAAGGGTCACGTCACATATTATGTCATCAGATTGTATTGTCTTATTTAATTTAAAAACCTGCTTCATATCCATTTTTGTTTGTAACTCTTGTTTTTCTAGACTTATTATAGCCATACTGCTAGAGCCATGGTAACTCAGAAGATTTGTTTTGTAGTGTTAACCCTCTGAAGGTACATGGGTTTGCCTACACACGCCGACAAGGACAAGCAATGAAAGTCTGTCAGACTGGGTAAATTCACATGGCCCATGCCTTGAGTTCTTCCATGTCATCCTCATCCTCCTCTTCTCTCTTTTTGTGGGCTGGAGAAACACAGACAGATGGTTATTGAGGGTTTCCACGGGGGAACCTCTCTGCATGTTAGTACTAAAGACTATTAAAGTGGTATTCTACCAACTTACCAAAGTCCAACTTCATATGTAAAGTTTTGATTTACTTTTGATTTAAAAGTATTTTTTAGTTTGTGAGATACAAAACAAATAATTACTAATCTACAATAGTCAGTCAATAGATTTTTCGGCACAATAAAGTTCATTAGTTAAGAGTCTAAGTTAACATGAACTAAGAATGAACAATACTTCTTTAGCATTTATTTAGTAAAGGTTGTATTTGGTAACATTAGTTAATGCACTGTGAACTAACATGAACAATGAACAGTTGTATTTTTTACATTAACAACATTAACAAAAATTAATAAATTTTTAATAGAGCTAAATCACATGAATTTTGGTACTATGTTGATATGTATGAACAGCATGAAACGAACCGATAGCTGTTTTTTTGGGTAATGGATTTGAAGGCACACTGGGCAAGGGGACATCCTCTGTGCCACTAATTTCCAGCAGATTCTTGTCTAGTTCCTCCTGTTCCAACTCCTCCAATTCAGCCAAGAGCTCATCCTAGAAAAAGATAGAATCTTATTGTTCATTCAACATCTGTAAAAACAGCATTTGAAGAGAATGTTGGAGCAAAAAGCAATGAGGGATACATCTATGTAAAATGTATTAACAACCATTTCAATAAATGTATTAACAACCATAATCAGAGGGTTAGGTAGAACGGTTAACACATGCACCGTGCAACAAAAACGTCCAGTAGTGAAAATACTTCTATTGCTATTTTTTCTATGTTGAACTGAAAAATTACCAAAAGTTAATTTCTAATTTCCTAGGTATCTGCTTCATTTTCCTTTTGCTTTATTGTTAGCAGCACATAACTCTACAAGTTTGTGTTAATTGTGATGATCATGTTCTCCAGCATTCTAGTGCTTCAATGTAAGCAAAAGGATCTGAGTCACATGACCAATGTCACTTAAAATAATGCAGTCACAATGTTTTTTATTCCTAAAACTTTATGTTGGGGAGACACTAGAGAGCACATAAAAAAACTCACCTCATCAAAGTCTTCTCCAAAACCTACAGGTCGTGAAATGGCATCAGAAATCTCCTGTGCCAACTCCTGCTGGTCTGTGATGTCTTGCATGAGGTCATCCACTTTGTCAAGATCCCTGAAAACATTCAATAACATCAGTATGTGCTGCATTCTGTACTAAGGAATAAACAGGACATCCACAACAGGTATCTTACATATTTTCATGGGCTGTCTTCATAGCTTTGGCAGCAAAACCCATGTTTTTAAGCACTTCTGTGTTTGTATTGGCATTCTCCAATGCTTCTCGCTGGAATTCAATAGTGGAGAGAGTTCCATCTATCTGAGCTAGTTGCTTTTCATATCGCTTCTTTCTTTTCAGGGCCTGTAAAGCAGCTTGAGAAAGAAAAAGGCAGACATGCACACCATAACTTAATGGTAAAAAATATATAAATACAAATTATATATAGGGTTAATTCAGGCTAATTGGGGCATTTTCCCATTCATCATTCATCTACATTTACATGCCATGAACAAAATAAATAAAATCAACTAGATTCTCACATATGTAATTAACTTTTTCCCAGGTTATCAATAAAGTTAACATTCAACCATACCCAAACAAAAAATTCCCAGCATGTTGGGATGTTTACAATACACTCGATGTAGTTAACCATGTTCCCTGTTAATGGCTGTTCTTTCACAACATATCACATGACACTAATCAGACGTAACGAAGCGATATGAAATCCGATTCTTAAGTCAAAACTCTTTTAATCAGTTTCGTGACAGCAGGGACTTTAATGTTCCTATCTACGTTTTTCCATATATATGTATATGTTCTTCTACCCGACATAGGTCGATATAAATCGACTTCATAGTTTCGATTATCACTCAGTTTAGGTCAAATGACGCAAGGGTGTAACTTTGCTACCCAACCATACTGAAATCGAAGACAGGTAACGTTAACGTTAGGGCGAAAGAAGAGGGTAGCTTTCTTTTTAAAGTTATTTAACACACATGTAAAAACAGGAGGATTCGTTTTAATACATACCTCGTTTGTTTTTCGTGCCGTTTTTCTTTGCTGTTAATAGCTCCGCATCAATTTTTTGCTCTAAATACTCTTGTTTCTTGGTTAACATCTCTTCTGTCTCACGGAGTTTCTGGATTGCTTCTTGTGGATTTGGGCCTTTCCCGCCTTTCCCCCCACCGCCAAACAATTTGCCGAAAACGGACATATTATTTTATATTATCCGAAACTAAGAAATCCCTCTGAGTCTGTTTGTTTCTATACGTCAATCGCTGTTCCGTGTTCAGTTGTTGATTGTCTGTCTTACTTCCGCCTTCAGGCCCTAATGTCGTCATGAGACTCGTCATGGTCAGGCCACCTATCAACGCTGCAGCTGCTGTGCTGCTATAGCGGCTGTCAACTTGAACGAGTAGGGGGAGGCTGCAGACCTGGAGCCGGCAGTTTTACGCCCCTGACAGTTTTACGCCCCTGACAGTTTACCGCGGTCAAGCCAGCCGCAGGTTGAAAATACACGGTCAAGCCAGCCAGTCTCAAGCCAGCCTCTAAAAAAATAAGGGTGTACGCCTATTACTATGAATACGGTAATTTCAGTAACGGCAGAGAGAATGCGCTTTCATGGCGCTTCAGTTGCCCAGCTCAATCTATCTATCTATCTATCTATCTATCTATCTATCTATCTATCTATCTATCTATCTATCTATCTATCTATCTATCTATCTATCTATCTATCTATCTATCTATCTATCTATCTATCTATCTATCTATCTATTCTATCTTTCTTTCTTTCTTTCTTTCTTTCTTTCTTTCTTTCTTTCTTTCTTTCTTTCTTTCTTTCTTTCTTTCTTTTTTTCTTTCTTTCTTTCTATTTTTCTTTCTTTCATTTTTTCTTTCTAGTTTTCTTTCTTTCTTTCTTTCTTTCTTTCTTTCTTTCTTTCTTTCTTTCTTTCTTTCTTTCTTTCTTTCTATTTTTCTTTCTTTCTTTCTTTCTCTTTCTTTCTTTCATTCTTTCTTTCTATCTTTCTATTTTTCTTTCTTTCTTTTTTCTATTTTCTTTCTTTCTATCTTTCTTTCTATCTTTCTATTTTTCTTTCTTTCTATCTTTCTATTTTTCTTTCTTTCTTTCTTTCTTCTTTTTTCTTTCTTTCTTTCTTTCTTTCTTTCTTTCTTTCTTTCTTTCTTTGTAATTAATCTATCTATCTATCTATCTATCTATCTATCTATCTATCTATCTATCTATCTATCTATCTATCTATCTATCTATCTATCTATCTATCTATCTAGCTGTTTTTTTCTTTCTGTATTTCTTTCTTTCTTTCTTTCTTTCTTTCTTTCTTTCTATTTTCTTTCTATTTTTCTATTTTTCTTTCTTTCATTCTTTCTATCTTTCTATTTTCTTTCTTTCATTCTTTCTTTCTTTGTAATCTATCTATCTATCTATCTATCTATCTATCTATCTATCTATCTATCTATCTATCTATCTATCTATCTATCTATCTATCTATCTATCTACTCATTTCGTCTTTGACATTTGTAATTTGTAACACCTCAAGACATTTTTTATGTACAGGTTTACAGCATAATTATTTGTAAAAAGAGATCAAATAAAGTATACACTCTTTTTAAATGCCTCTTTTTTCATGTTTTTTTAGTATTAAAATGACAGTTTCTCTTGAATTAAATGTCCCATGTCCTAATGTCCCAATGCCTCTCTTCTACTTTAGACACCTATAAAAACCTATTTTCTAATAAGTAGAAAAAAAACAATGGTCATGTCATGTACGGGACGTCCCATAGAGTGTGCTCACCAAATATCTAACCATTTTACTGCAGCGCTTTTAGAGATATAGGCCTCTATTCTACTTTAGACACAAATAAAAACCTCATTTCTAATAAGTAGAAAAAAACAATGGTCAGGTCATGTACGGGACGTCCCAAAGAGTGTGCTCACCAAATATCTAACCATTTTACTGCAGCGTTTTAGAGATATAGGCCTCTATTCTAATTTAGACACCTATAAAAACCTCATTTCTAATAAATAGAAAAAAACAATGATCATTTCATGTACAGGACGTCCCATAGAGTGTGCTCACCAATTATCTAGCAATTTTACTGCAGCGTTTTGGAGATATAGGCCTCTCTTCTACTTTGGACACCTATAAAAAATATTTTTTAATAAGTATAAAAAAAAACAATGGTCAGGTCATGTACGGGACGTCCCATAGAGTGTGCTCACCAAATATCTAACCATTTTACTGCAGCGTTTTAGAGATATAGGCCTCTATTCTAATTTAGACACAAATAAAAACCTAATTTCTAATAAGTAGAAAAAAACAATGGTCAGGTCATGTACGGGACGTCCCATAGAGTGTGCTCACCAAATATCTAACTATTTTACTGCAGCGTTTTGGAGATATAGGCCTCTATTCTACTTTAGACACCTGTAAAGACCTCATTTCTAATAAGTAGAAAAAAACAATGGTCAGGTCATGTACGGGACGTCCCATAGAGTGTGCTCACCAAATATCTTACCATTTTACTGCAGTGTTTTGGAGATAAAGGCAACTATTCAACTATAAACAACAATAAAAACCTAATTTCTAATAAGTAGAAAAAAACAATGGTCATTTCATGTACAGGACGTCCCATAGAGTGTGCTCACCAATTATCTAGCAATTTTACTGCAGCGTTTTGGAGATATAGGCCTCTCTTCTACTTTGGACACCTATAAAAAATATTTTTTAATAAGTATAAAAAAACAATGGTCAGGTCATGTACGGGACGTCCCATAGAGTGTGCACACCAATTATCTAACCATTTTACTGCAGCGTTTTGAAGATATAGGCCTCTTTTCTACTTTAGACACAAATAAAAACCTCATTTCAAATAAGTAGAAAAAACCAGTGTGCACACCAATTATCTAACCATTTTACTTCAGCGTTTTGGAGATATAGGCCTCTCTTCTACTTTAGACACAAATAAAAATATTTTTTAATAAGTATAAAAAAACAATGGTCAGGTCATGTACGGGACGTCCCATAGAGTGTGCACACCAATTATCTAACCATTTTACTGCAGCGTTTTGGAGATATAGGCCTCTTTTCTACTTTAGACACAAATAAAAACCTCATTTCTAATGAGTAGAAAAAAAATGGTCAGGTCATGTACGGGACGTCCCATAGAGTGTGCTCACCAATTATCTAGCCATTTTACTGCAGCGTTTTGAAGATATAGGCCTCTCTTCTACTTTAGACACCTATAAAAACCTATTTTCTAATAAGTACAAAAAAGCAATGGTCAGGTCATGTACGGGACGTCCCATAGAGTGTGCTCACCAATTATCTAACCATTTTACTGCAGCGTTTTGGAGATATAGGCCTCTCTTCTACTTTAGACACAAATAAAAAATATTTTTTAATAAGTATAAAAAAACAATGGTCAGGTCATGTACGGGACGTCCCATAGAGTGTGCACACCAATTATCTAACCATTTTACTGCAGCGTTTTGGAGATATAGGCCTCTTTTCTACTTTAGACACAAATAAAAACCTCATTTCTAATGAGTAGAAAAAAAATGGTCAGGTCATGTACGGGACGTCCCATAGAGTGTGCTCACCAATTATCTAGCCATTTTACTGCAGCGTTTTGAAGATATAGGCCTCTCTTCTACTTTAGACACCTATAAAAACCTATTTTCTAATAAGTACAAAAAAGCAATGGTCAGGTCATGTACGGGACGTCCCATAGAGTGTGCTCACCAAATATCTAACCATTTTACTGCAGCGTTTTAGAGATATAGGCCTCTATTCTAATTTAGACACCTATAAAAACCTCATTTCTAATAAATAGAAAAAAACAATGATCATTTCATGTACAGGACGTCCCATAGAGTGTGCTCACCAATTATCTAGCAATTTTACTGCAGCGTTTTGGAGATATAGGCCTCTCTTCTACTTTGGACACCTATAAAAAATATTTTTTAATAAGTATAAAAAAAACAATGGTCAGGTCATGTACGGGACGTCCCATAGAGTGTGCTCACCAAATATCTAACCATTTTACTGCAGCGTTTTAGAGATATAGGCCTCTATTCTACTTTAGACACAAATAAAAACCTAATTTCTAATAAGTAGAAAAAAACAATGGTCAGGTCATGTACGGGACGTCCCATAGAGTGTGCTCACCAAATATCTAACTATTTTACTGCAGCGTTTTGGAGATATAGGCCTCTATTCTACTTTAGACACCTGTAAAGACCTCATTTCTAATAAGTAGAAAAAAAACAATGGTCAGGTCATGTACGGGACGTCCCATAGAGTGTGCTCACCAAATATCTTACCATTTTACTGCAGTGTTTTGGAGATAAAGGCAACTATTCAACTATAAACAACAATAAAAACCTAATTTCTAATAAGTAGAAAAAAACAATGGTCATTTCATGTACAGGACGTCCCATAGAGTGTGCTCACCAATTATCTAGCAATTTTACTGCAGCGTTTTGGAGATATAGGCCTCTCTTCTACTTTGGACACCTATAAAAAATATTTTTTAATAAGTATAAAAAAACAATGGTCAGGTCATGTACGGGACGTCCCATAGAGTGTGCACACCAATTATCTAACCATTTTACTGCAGCGTTTTGAAGATATAGGCCTCTTTTCTACTTTAGACACAAATAAAAACCTCATTTCAAATAAGTAGAAAAAACCAGTGTGCACACCAATTATCTAACCATTTTACTGCAGCGTTTTGGAGATATAGGCCTCTCTTCTACTTTAGACACAAATAAAAAATATTTTTTAATAAGTATAAAAAAACAATGGTCAGGTCATGTACGGGACGTCCCATAGAGTGTGCACACCAATTATCTAACCATTTTACTGCAGCGTTTTGGAGATATAGGCCTCTTTTCTACTTTAGACACAAATAAAAACCTCATTTCTAATGAGTAGAAAAAAAATGGTCAGGTCATGTACGGGACGTCCCATAGAGTGTGCTCACCAATTATCTAGCCATTTTACTGCAGCGTTTTGAAGATATAGGCCTCTCTTCTACTTTAGACACCTATAAAAACCTATTTTCTAATAAGTACAAAAAAGCAATGGTCAGGTCATGTACGGGACGTCCCATAGAGTGTGCTCACCAATTATCTAACCTTTTTACTGCAGCGTTTTGGAGATATAGGCCTCTCTTCTACTTTAGACACAAATAAAAAATATTTTTTAATAAGTATAAAAAAACAATGGTCAGGTCATGTACGGGACGTCCCATAGAGTGTGCACACCAATTATCTAACCATTTTACTGCAGCGTTTTGGAGATATAGGCC